GTCGAAAGGCGGTTTCAGATCGATGAGTCTACGAAAGGAGTGTCTGTGTTCTAAAATATGGTCTATACAACCTCGACCAGATCAAAAACCACAACCTATCAAAGCATTATTGTCCCGCAAAATATTCAGCACGAGTAACAATACTACAAACAACGGCATATACAGAAAACAGGAGTTTACTCGGCTGTAATCTCGGCAGAAAAGCGTGCGGACACATCAAGTCAATCGGGTATCAACACTAGTGACTCACCTTTGTTTTCCTCAACATTTTTGTCCTCATCTTCGACGTCGAACTCGGACTCGCGTTCCTCATACTCCACATTCTCGTCTAATTCTTTGAAATCCGGTGCAAATGCGGACCAGTTTTGCTGTTGAACGGGACAAACGAACCGTGTGAAGCAGAGCAAACAATAAAAACAACAACAACAATCCATTTGGATAAAACAGCAGAATGAATATTGGAATGTTAAGAGTAAATTCAAGCGAGAGATAGAGAATACATATAGACTGAGGTTACAAAGAGAATGAGTAGATGCATTGCGACAGCCAGCAGCATATCGCTCAGTGTCTCTAACCACCGGTGACCACGATATCGGAGTCCCCATCCAGGGAGCCTAACGCAAGTGGCAGATGACAAATGATTTGCTGGTCGAGAAAAATTACTGTGATGGTGGTGGTACAGTAAGTGGTTGAAGCACTGTCACCGACATGCTTTGGACCCTACTGTTCGATTATAAACCTAAAGGACCTGTTACTACGCTGCACCCACAGAACGCACAGGATATTCCCTGTCTCTAGATGGCAGGATTGGCGATAGGATCCCCATTCGATCCGTTGTCAGCGGACAGTTATGTGATCAACCCAGAAAGAAAACATCAAGCTCCGCAATTTGGGGGATTAGTTAATTCAGTAGACTTATGAATGATTACTTCTGTGTGACGTATCCAGAACGTAGCATACCGCAAACGCTTGAGTTGTCCAACAAAGGACATTAATGCTTGGATTTTATCATGGAAGTAGAAACCGACATACCGGTGTTTTTCAATCTAGCCGTGTCTGCAGAAAAGATGACGAGTAGGTGAGAGGACAGGTCCGTAGAAAAAACGGAATGGACAATACACTAATATTTTTGGTCTCGACTCTTTGAAACGCAAACGTAATCCAGTGGAAAAAGAATGATTATTCTGTTCAGTTTCAGTTTCAGTTTGAGCAACCATTAACCCCGCATATTCGAGCGCCGGTTTTGGTTGCTGTCTTTTGGCTGCCCATTTGGATGAAGAATAGGAGAAGAAAGGAAAGGGGAAAGTGGATTCGAAAGGAAAATTGAGAAGTTCAGTGGACTAAGGTTGGGAAGAAATTGAGGAGATGCACGAACGCCACTGTTTACGACACCCAGCCAGATCGCTCAGTGTCTCTAACCATCGGTTACGATCATCCCGAGGTCCCCAGCCAGGGAGCCTAACAGGACCTATGTGACCCAGTTTCCTGGTTAGGGTTTTCATACCCTCGTGCCAGGTCTTAACTTGACCCCTCTTGGCTTTTTTTCCACTCAGTATCTGCTTCGGCGAACATCGTTCGCCGTGGTAACCTACCTGGTGACATGCGTAACACATGTCCCAGCCAACGTAATCTATGGAGGTCGACCACTTGCTCNTACCCAAAACTCTGCCCCTAACCTCAGCATTGCTCATCCGGCTACCCCAACAGATTCGTGCAATGCTGCGTAGACAGCGGTGTTCAAACACCGACAGTCTGTCTTTATCTTGTTCTCTTATTGGTCAAGTTTCTGCACCGTATAGCAGGACTGGACAAACTGTCGCGGCATACACTCGACCCTTCACAGACAGCCGGATGTCGCGACGGCGCCACAGATGTATCAAGTTAGCAAATGCCAACCGAGCCTTCTGTATGCGAGCTGACACTTCATCCGTGATGCCTCCACCGGGTGAGATGTAGCTGCCCAAATAACAAAACTTATCCACCTGCTCTATTACTTCTCCAGTAAGAGTGAGGTTGGGTGCTGGACCAACCCAGTATTGTAGCAACATTTTACACTTTGAAGGTGCAAAACGCATACCGAATATGGCCATACTGGCATTCAAGTTATCCAGAAATGCTTGCAACTTACCTGGATGATTATTCTGTGTCCCCTAAGAAATATTCATAGGGATTCCGTTAAAGGAAGAAACACCAAAAGTTTGGTACATTCAATGAGAGCGGCTAAAAGTTCCATATTTCCTAAGCCGGCAAACTCAAATCGGTGTTCTTTACAGAATCGGCAAGTCAAATACAATGCTCTATATGTCAAGTTACTAATTCATGTGTCTGGCACATATAACATAGGTTTCACTGTGAGGCATGCATCTCGAAGCGCTCAGAAGCACCATGCGTGATGGATAAATCAGGAATGGACCGGCGCTGTGTGTCCCCCAAACGGCTGGTTTACGCCCTTCAACTACCTTGACGCAGCGTGAAGACTATGACGGAACATAACGGGTAACTTGATCCAAGAGCAGCAAGATCAGACGAACGAAAGAGCTGACCGTTCATATACACCCTTATCCTCTACCACCGATTATTGATTTCAAATCAAGCCAATGGCAACTGTTGTGCAAACGATTTTCCACGGCATGATCTATAAGGTTTTGATAATATTATTATTTAATACAGTTCGCAGACATCTGAGTTCAAACTGTGCCAAACAGTAATCTCTATCACGATTTACTCGTGGGCGGAATAGTTCCAGGGTGCCACAGCAGGTGAACTTTCTTAAAGACACATAACCGAAGACTTTGAACAGCTAAAGAGAGACAGCTGGGTGCATTGAGAAAACCGCAATCCATTGGAAGCATGATTAGCAGTTGCCCAAAAAAATTGTCCATCCATCGACTCGTTTCTTTTGACATTCCATGATGAATTAGTCGTGTAATGTGGCATTAGCTGAAATGCTAGGAAGCACTAGACAGTTCTTCTGACATTGTTGGGTCGCATCAGCAGCGGGAATCCATCGACTCATTTGAGGATCGTGAACCCGGAACCTCACAGGCAGAACGCCAGCGTACTATCTACTCGGGTACCTGATTAGATAGAATATAGCAAAAACCATTTTTATCAGGTTATGAAAGTTTCCAACCAAGTTACAACCCCGGAGGCTAGTGTTGAGATGAGCGAGGTCCATGGCCTGCAACAGGCTCGCCAAGATGGGTTGTGCTATATCGTGTAGATGGAAAACGAAAATGGTCTGATCAGCTGCCCGCTTGTCGAGTGCTTGCGTTCTGCCTGTGAGGTGCCGAGTTCGTGATCCTCAAATGGGTCGATGGGTTCACGCATTGTACTGATGAGACCCAGGTCGAAACAGCTGTTCAGTGATTCCCAGCTTTACAGCTCACGCCTCATTTACACGACGAATTCAACATCCAATGAAATATTTGATAAGCAACAAATATATAGTCAGAAGGTACGAGGGAAGCACAAATAAAAATCCAGGTGACCATGGTTGGGCCTGGAGAATAGATTACAAAACTAGCGCCTATACTAATGAACTATCACCACCAACACCGTGAAAGTAACCGAAAACTCCACTTCACATACAATGAGCATACGTTGAAATGACTTAGAAATGGGATACCGGATGAAGAAAACGAAGGATAGATACACCGCTGCACAAAAATTACAACTGAATAATATTAGAATCATATTAAGTGAAGACTCACAACTTGGGTTTGCGCCCAAATAGAAACCTGTTCTTTGGTGACGGAATTGGAAATCGATACGATGATGGGACGTAGAGGATGCCAAACAACATCTAGCAATGTTTCACCTTTCTGTCCATGCAAAATTTTGACTAGGGTTCCACTAGCCCGTTCCCACAAATAGATTGAATGTTGTTTCATGGATCCGGCGCAGATAAATTCACCGTCACCGGAGAAGCAACATTTTCGCCAATGACTCCTATGGTTGGTTGGTTGGGGATAAATGAGAACAAGTGTGTCGTGAAATAGCAATACTGAGCTAAATGGGTCAATCCCAGCACCGGATCAACGCCGAATTCATAATCGAAAAATAAATCAAGTGAAAAAATATTGTACATAAGTAGTAAAAAGCAATGGGTGATAATATAATGACCAAGTGAATAAAAACGCCCCAACGGGAAGGGTAACAGTCCACTTAGGTTTAGTGAACACAACCATTTTCGTGCAGTACAATTGGGCGCCGTCTTTGGGTTACCCGCTGGAATGAAGGAGCAGAGGGAAGATTAGAATGTGTAAGGCAGTGTCAGTTTTAAGATGAAAAACTCAGTTAGGCAAAACTAGCAAGGATATCGGGTAGATGCAGGAGCGCCACGGTTTGCGACACTCAGGCATATCATTCAGTGTCTCTAACCACCGGCTATGCTGATCCCGAGGTGCCCGTTCAGCGAGCCTAACGCGACCTATATGGCCGAGCATCCCGGTTAGGGTTTTCATACTCTTATGACAGGTCTTAGTTTGACCACCCTTGACTTTTGTCCACCGACTACCTGCCTCGGTAAACATCGCGCACCGTGGCAACCTATTTGGTGACATGCCCAATACAGGTCCAAACCAGTGTAATCTATGGAGGTGGATCACTGACCTCAGTGAACGACCACAGTTATCTAAAATTTTGCGTAAGCTCGGCATTGGTTGTTCAGTTTCCCTACCAGACTCGTGTAAAGCAGCGTAGACAATGGTCATCGAACAGTAACGGTCTTTGACCTATTTCCGTAATGGCAAAGTCCCTGCACCACATAGCAACACTCAAAACAGATAATCAAAATCTTAGACCAATGTGGACATATCTGCAAATTTTCAACTTCTTATAACCGCTATCATCTTCACCAAACATCACGGACTAAGGAAACCCATGCCGACCATTGCAACCTATGGACGTCAAACGCAAGAGTAACCACGCACCTATAAATCTGAGCAAAACTCAGTATTTTTGTTTAGTTTTCCCTGTAGAATCGTGCAATAAGAAATAGATAGCGCTGTTTAAATGACGAAAGTCTTTAATTATCTACCCGTAACGACCATGCCTTTAAGCTACACAGTAGAACCAGTCGAACCGTTGCAGCATACTCTTCATTTTTCGCGGGAGGATGGATTTCGAAGCGAAGTCACTGATGTATGTTGTTGACGAATATCCATCTAACCTCTCTACGCGAACCCAACCGAGGTTCATCCTCTAGTGAAGATATGGCTGCTTCAGTAAAAGAATTCGTCACCTCTCTAGTTAACCTCCTCAGTTAGAGCAAGACTGGAATTTGGGTCAGCCGAAAAATTCAACAACATAATACACTTTGAAGATGTAGGACACATCCTGAGAATCGCTCCAAAAACGACCAAACCGTTCAGAAAAGCTCGCAACATACCTGAAACTTCACTCAAACATAGCATATCATTCATATATCAGAAAACCGGCTCCTTCTTAGTGCATCAACGCTTCTATCTTGGACAAGAATGACAGAAAGGGCGGATGAGTGGAATACAGGTGTTTCGAACTACAGTGAAGGATGAAAATATGTCCAATGCAGCCAAAGAGGTTCGAACCAACGTGATTCTCGGTCGTGCACTGTTTGTATGAGGCATGTTGTGTTCCGGTCAAGTAGTAGCATGGACAGGAGCGATTCTTGCTTACCCCCCGAAAACAACAACAACGCGGAGAGAGAACACGAGTCTAGAAGGCGTTGCTGATCGTGAATCAGTGTGACATCGGATTCCTTAATTATCTCACTTACACCTGTTTTCTTGGGGCTCGTATTCCCCATTAGACGGAAAAGGTTGCGACCATTGCCAATAGCCGCAGCCTTCTCCATCTCTTTAGACTTTTTACTCACCACTTCTCGTGGTCATTCCTCACACTCTTGATGAGCTGGCGTTCAAGAGATTTGCGCATTGTCACATTTGGCACCAGGAGGGAGGGTTCTGGGGACGTCCAGTAGGGCAGTCGACGAGATCCATCGTTTGTGTTTTGAGCCTGCGCTCGGGTACTGACGTTATTTTTATCACTATTTGCATAGCTTCCTTGATCTGCCTCCAATGTGTATTGAGTCCTTCGGCTGGTGGTTGAACTGTGAGGCAATCGGCGAGTTCCGCTTCGAAAGCCGATTTGCAGCAATCAGTCCAGACAACGGTCTGGGTATATTCGATGATCAGAGTTGGATAAGCAAGTACAGGGGGTAAATCAGGCAAACGAGAACGACACATAGAAATCAATCAGATTGCGTTCCTGACATTCGGACTGATCGATAAAAACAACCGCTGGCTGATTAGTTCATCTAATTCGGATTCAGCTTGCCTTGCGCGTAACGAGTGTGCTTAAAGCGTGACGAGGACGCGTGTACGACTTGATGGGTTCTTCGAGCTCCGTTTTTACACAGCAGACAGACAATGGGGAATAATCCCAGCGAATCCCAGCTTTGAGACTGATATGTTCTGCGGTTTTCTTGTAAATCAGAACTGTATAATCAGCTTACACTATTCCTCAGAAATTCTCCATGACTCGGAATTCGTCAACTTTGCTGTTCATGTTATGTAAAAACAGGAGTTGCCAAAAAAAGGTAGTTGAATTTTCCATCATGTCGATTCCTCATATGCATATATGCATATATTGGGTATCGTCGCTAGTGTTCACTTTTCTTGTCTCACGTGCAACGTGCGATTTCGACCACAAAATTAAGAGAACCATTGAATACCGAACGTAAGGTGACCGTCACAGATCACTTTCCGAACAAAGAAACAAGCGTCATTTCAGAACGATATCAATTTGATCCGCGAGGGACGAAGTAGGGCAAACAGCGGAATAGAACGGTTAATGAACTTTGAGCTTACTGCCGCTAACAAACCTCGGGAATAACAAAATTATGTGGAAACAATAGGTATGCTAGTTAAGCAGCAGCTGTTCATCGGGTAAATGCAAAACCTGGTAGGGTGTTTGCCTGCGGACAGAACTATTCAACACCATAGGAAAATGTAAACGAGATGTAACGAGGGTAGTAGCTGCAATATACCAGAAGCCGTGTCCTCCAAAATCCTTCGAATGGTGGGGGTGGGTGTTCAAGCTTGCAGCTGGTCACCCTTCCCTTGCATCTCACGAAATGTTCCCATTTACGACCAAGCGTCTCAAACAGCCTCTGCTGAGGAAGCCCTCTAGCTCACTTCCTTCTCGTGGCACACGTGTTTTTCCACCTAAGTGAGAGGACGAATAGTCGACATCCGGGGCTATAACCGGGTTGGTGGACCACTGGTAGTTCACCTCGGGGAGTTGGCCAAAAACCCTGATTCCAAACCAACCAAGTAAAGGCTTACGAACCCCATCCACACCTTTTCGGTTGTGGCAATGGTCACCAGCTCCATTGAGCATCAAGATGTATTGGGCACCTTGGACGTTTGACCCCGTCCAAAGAGCGTATGATCCAATGAACTGGACACCGGGCCCTCGATGGGTTGCGATTTTCACACACCTCCTGCTGCCTTGCGGCTCATGTTTTGGTTGGCCGAAGGCTCTGGTTGTGGATTTCTCAAGAAAATTCACCTACCTTGGCCTGTGCAATCTGGCAGTATTCAGCCCACAAACCAATCATGATTTCTTTGACACAGTCTGGCCCCAGACGAGTGTGAAATATAATAATAATAAGAATGATAATAATAATAGAAGTACCAACAGCAGCAGCAACAGTGAGCGCCTTAACAACAAAAAGACACCGTAGAAAAAAACCGACCGACTGACTAACCCAGTGACTAAATCCTTCAGTTTTTTAATCGGTTCCAGATCTGTCCCGTCCGCGGCCAGTGCTTTCTCACAGTTGTATACTCGAATCACACGATCGGCACAATTCAGGAGGAAATACCTGAAGAACGCATGAAATCCGCACGGTTCAGAAGGGTGAAATCGAAAAATGTGCGGTGCACGCCATGATTTAGGGGGAAAGGAGGAATGATATTTAATCCGATCACAGAGAAACTCAGACCTACCAAATACTTCCTAAATTGCAAAGCCAAAAATTATGTACAAATTAAGAACCTTGGTTTCCAAAACACGCCGAAGACAGACTGGGTAGAATAACTACTTTTGAACATGACTCTGATTACTGTGCAGTTCTGAGTTTTCTAATATTCTGCAGCTAACCACGAGTGTCAGTGAAAGCCTGGATTTCTATAAGAACGTGTGCAAATGCAATGGTGAACGGGATCGGACTATTCGCTGTCGCTCAAACTAACCAGGCCGGATTGATGTAAACTGCAGTAACAGGCAATCACGACAACCTGATTGGTGCTTTCGAACTTTATATTACCCGAAAACAAAGTCTATGGAAACTTTAATAGTATACGCGGGTTTATCAGTTATTGTGATACCATCACACACCTTTACGGTTTCGTTGTGATTTTTCCGACTGAAAACCGAAACAAATTGTCAATAAACTCAATTCGACTAGGATGCAGTGGTAATTCACGATATACAGCAACGGTCAATCGAACAAAGAGTGTTTTAACAGAAAAACTATGCCACTGCTAATATGAATAAATAATGCCGAATCGCTAGGAGCATCGTCAAGCCTATAGTATTCTTTTTTCTTTTATCATTTCTACTTCCTTTTAATGAGTATACGAAGATGCAATTTTTCAGGAACAGGAAAGCGGCCAATCAAAGGGCTGCCATACAACACACATAATGGTGATGGGATTCGAACACACGTCCTCCGGGGTGATAATTGGTGACGTTACCACCGGACCACCAACGACAGAGAGAAGAGACAATTTTCCCGGAAATCGTTGAAAAAAAAAGAGATTTGTATCAATCGCTGCCGCTAGAATTTTTCAGGTAATTCTAGATTCCCTTGGATTGGTGGAAACCAAGGTAACGAACAAAATGCTGTAATCTGATTGGTTAATTTGGCTTTATCGGTGATCTCAGGCTCTTCGTTCTGGAAAAATTAAGACTGTTCGCTACACCGTTAATACAACCAACACATTGTACCACTGTTATAAAGTACTTTCGGGTGCTTTCTATCAGAAATCATGGAATTAAATTGTCTTCTAATTGGAAATCGTCGGGAAAATGTCGTGAAACGGGATTCAGTGATTAATTAGCGGTCTCAACAATTTTGGCAGTTGTATACATAGCTCAGAGAAACAACACCTAGCACAGGTGAACATTGTCGACGGGAGTGAGACGAAATAATCACATGATCAACTTACTCGCCACGACGAGCAAATTCAATCGACTTTACCGCTGCATTCGCGCCGGAACGAAATGAAGTGACCAGTTCGAATTTATCTGTGTCATAGATACAAACCTAGAACAGACCGGAGAGCCGGGGGGAGGGGACGAAACGCGGAGTGTACCCGATTAATATGCCTCTAGCTGATCGTCTACCAGTGATCGGAATTCCAAACGTAGGGGAATTTCAGTCCATTCATTCAGATATTACGCTATATACAAAATGCCCTGAAAATGGTACTTAGCCCCAGAGATGTACATCCGAAAACCATAACCGACTGAATATCTCCCAGACGTCTATCATAGCAAAAGTTCTAAGAAGAAAATCTTAAAGCCAGGACGATCAACAATTGAGGTGTTTTTATTCGTTCATTTATATATATATATATATATATACATATATACATATATAAACGTAGAAAATCTGCCTTATTTTGGTTACAGTTGAATGTCAAAACATTTCATGCAACCAACACACCACATTTCTTAACCAAGGTATTCAACATCAACATTTGCAGAAAATAAATTGTTTTCAACATCCACTGACCTCAGAGTATTCTGATATTTTTTATTTGATTCACCTACTGCGGTGTGACTAAAGGCTAAAGGACTATGGGTTTCGGCTAAAGGATTGCGGGCCGAGGATAAATAAATGTGGATTTTTACTAAAGCTTGATGGGAAAAAGTGTAGATAATAGCACATGACAAAATACAGATAACTTTAGTGAGTCTTGATTGGAACAAACCGTAATCCATTCCATAGTTCAATCTTGAAAGAGACCTCGAGCAGGACAGTTCACGGAAAATCAAATAAAAATACCTCTGAACGGAGAAACGCTCACAACTGTAAGACGAAGTTTATAATTTCGCAGCGAAACAGAGTTTAACGCGAACGAAGGCAGTGCAACAAATCAAAACGAAAAAAATTGTCAAGCTTATTTATCAGTTACTGTCCACGTTCTACGACCGTGTAATTTGACGCTCGGATCGCAAAAAAACCAAGTAAATAGGGTTTCACGACCATGCGGACCACAGCTTTAACTAGTATATCCTGCAAAAGGCTATGAAGGTATATGCGCATGAAATTATGAAAATGAGAACTGTGAAACTGTAATGGAATGTCGGATAAAACTGACAGAAAATCGGGGGCGGGGGAATAAATCAAAATATACGTACTCGACCTTTCGAATTTCCCGTGTAAATGTATTTCCCACGACGATCATAAGAAGCGACAATACTGAGATCATTCTGAAAGAAAAAGACAAAGTACACAGAAATCGAGTTTATTTTTTTTTACAAATCCGCTTTCTTTTCATACACAAACCTGTGTAATGAACAGCATAAAAGATAAACTCCATAGCCATGATGACCTATTATATTTCACCATGATAACGGACAACTTAAGCACCGGGACTTGAAGCAGCGAGGGATTGAGCCAGACGAGAACGAATTCCCCTACTTCTATCCATGAGCAGCACTGGCAGTGTTTGAACCTCGAATGTTATGGTCTACAGCATACGGAGACCAACGAATTCAGCTGTCAGATTATCAGCACTATCAGCATTGAACAAAAGAATGTGTTGACATATTTTCGTCTTTCTCAGCTTTTTTTCTGATATTGGTTTTTCGTGTTTATGAATTCACTCAAAAATGCAATATCATCAACAAAGTTGCTCTTGTACTCCTGTACTCCATGAAATTCCAACTTCAAAAAGGAAGATCCCTCATTCAAATAACACAAATAAAAGTGATTCGCATTTAACCCACAGTTGCCTGCGAGTAGTGTTGTGCGATTAATTGATATTGATTGATTGGAATTGACCACTCTTCACATACACTCCTCAGCTCTTCCAGTCAACCAGTGTTGTACTTATTAGTTATATATACACATACTCACCAACAAGTCCGGGTTTACAATTTAGACCGTTCGCATGGACAGCTTGCCATCACCGGGCCAACCGGTTCACACATGGGTTTAATAGTTTTATTGATTCCAGTTTTCTCAAATATCCTCTTCAATAACTGTCAGATTTTAATTAGGTCCAAAGAGAGATATAGTCAAAAGCTGGCCAACAACCGAATATTTCGTGAAGGTAATGGGTAAAAGTGTTAAACTAAAGTAGACTTAATGCAAATTTTGACTCACAGTTAGTAGTGAGTAGCGTTTAGGATTTGTCTTCGACGTCGATGTGTGCTATTTAATTTTAGTAGATACACAATGTGTATTACAGACTTAGGAAGCAAACTTCAATCATAAGCGACTGAGAGAGAGAGAAAGCAGAGGATCACTCACGTGAGATCCTGGGCTGAAAGATTGCAATTGGACGGGGAACACTGCTTCGCAGTTGAGAAGTTTAGATGGGAAAGGAAGACAGAGAGAAAACTACGACATCGAGTAAAATAAATCGGTTATGGACAGCTGGATGTCTGTGTATAGTCAAAGTCGAAAGCAAAGTTTTATGAGTGATTTAACAAGGCTAAAGCTTATCATGCCCCATAGGATTTTTACAGAATATTTTGAATAACTTCACAAAGAGAAAATAACAATGATAATAATGTGCGTGATCACTCACGGATGTTGAAATTTTAAGTGTTCCAATGCTTTATCAGCTTGCGATTTAAATAGTTCAACTGTAGGAGCACACACTACATCAGATGGAAGAGAATTCCATACGCCGCACACTCTGACTGCAAACGGGTGATGCGGCAATCAAGGTGGCTGTTTTGGATCTTCACCTTTAGTGGATGTCCCCTGAGGTGATCATTATGAGATAAAGTCAGCAGAGAACGGCAAGGGTGGTTGGGTTGATGCAGTATGTGATATGCCAATATTAGGTCCCCTCGAAGTCGGCGGTATAAGGATGAGTAGAGTCCCAATATTTGCAGTTTTTCGGAGTATGTAGTTATACAGACCTTGTACCAATTTCATTACCAGCCTTTGTGGACGTTTTAGAGCCTTCTTGTCGAGGTTTAACCATGGATTCCATACTTGAACGGCGTACTCCGTGTGTGGCCGAACGAACGCTGCTAACAAGCGTGGGAATAGTGCTCTTTCGAACTGCCCGAAAACACATCTGAGTAATCACACGAGACCATGGATGGAACGGATCTCATTGAAAAATTTGGGCGTCGTGCTCATGATTATCTGAGTAGTCCAACTTGCTTTAGAGTGATAGATGATGCTCTGGCACAGTGCGTGGAACATCCTACGTCCTTGATGCAATCATTATGACCGTTGTTGGTCGGACTAAGTTCAACACGTGATGCCATAACGTGATTCTTAAACCATACCTCTTTCAATTTAAGATGTCCGAGGACCAATTTAAGATGTCATGCTGTTATGTGGATAGTACGATACTTCGATTACGCCATCGCTTCACATTGCCTTATGAATTTCTTGACGATCTTGTTTTCATGTTCAGTCCATTCATGTGATTAAAGCATGACCACCAAACAGCCGAAGTTCACTGGGTCTGCTAAAGACTCAGGGTTGTAAACAAGGTGTGGTTTCTCGCTCGGGTTAGCTGGGCAGGCACCAGGTCCCTTGTTGCGGCTGAACCATTCCACCGATTGGTCATGTGAATTTTGGGCCGGCGCAG